AACTATATTTATTTTATGCATCCTTTAGCTCCTACAGCTAGTTCAACAAGAGTAATGTTCCAATCAATGGGCATTCAGTAGCATTCAGGAAACTATCAGCCAGTGGTGTGATTCAGCCAGTTCGCACCAATTCAGTAGAACCGGTAGCTAATTTTTTGTGTAGTTCAGCAAACCGTCTGAATAGCATGCCTCGCCCCTCCCAGCCACTCTTTGCCTCGCCTGGCCTTTGAAATAAGCACAACACGGAAGGCTTCCGCCCTAGGAAATAAGCCCAATCAACGCCTCTCTCTCCACCAAAACAGGATGGCCCACCTTCACATTTTTTTCAAGTGAAGCCTCTCTTCCAAACAATCCTGTGTATAAGATGAGCAATGCATATCAAACTGATCCGGAGGGGGAGGAGGATTTGAGCTACCTGAGCGGGTGTGAGTGATCAGTTCGGCACAACTGAGCACTGTACAAGCAGCGCCCTGACCGGAGTGTGGGAGTGCCCAGCGACCAATCGAGATTCATGAGTAAAAGCAACCGAGCAGCTGCATCATCTCCAGGCACTTTGCCACCTTTTGGGTTCTTCCCCCTTGGCCTTAATTAAGGTTGAGGATAGTGAGAGTCACAACCAGACTCCCAGGAGCAACACCCCGTCTGCTCAGACAAACAGAGCCTGTATATCTTCCTCCTTGCTTCCACCAGCAGCCTCTCATAAGAGAAAGGCTGGGGCCAAAGCCTAGAAAACGTTGGAGGCGTCTTTCCTGAAGAGTGGCAGGTGGGGCAGCCTCCTAGGTTTTCTAGGCTGCGGTCCTGGCCTTTCTCTTACAAGAGGCTGCCGGTGGAAGCAAGGGTTCTATTTGTTCGAGTGAAGGGAGCATTGCTGCCAGGAGTCCAGTTGCGACTCTCGCCATCCTCAGCCCTAATTAAAGTCGAGGGGGAAGAGCCCGAACGGTAGCAAAGTGCCTGGATGCAGCTGCTTGGTTGCTTTTACCCTATGAGATCATGAATTCCGATCAGTCTCCGGGCACTCCCACACTCGGATCAGGGCACTTCTTATACAGTGCGCAGTTGCGCCAAACTGATAGCTCATGCCTGCTCAGGTAGCTCAAATTCTGCCCCTCCTTCTCCCAATCAGTTCAGTGTACATTGCTTATTTTATACACAGAATCGTTTGGAAGAGAGGATGTTCTTGAAAAGACGTGAAGATGGGCCATCCTGTTTTGGTGGAGAGAGAGGCATTGATTGGGCTTATTTCCTAGGATGGAAGCCTTCCGTGTTGCCCTTATTTCAAAGGTGAGGCGAGGTGAGTCACCCAGCAAGGAGAGACTGGGCCAAGTGAGGAGTGGCTGGGAAGGGAGGGGCAAGGAGAGGCCAGGCGCCCCTCAATGTGAGTGACCACGCCCACCTAGTCACATGACCACCCAGCCAGTCATTAGGGCAGAGAACTGGTTGTTGAATTATTTGAATCCCATCACTATCAGCAGAACAGATGGTCTTTATTTAAACCTAATTGGGACTGGAATTTCCAATGCTAAGCCTTAACCATTTTACAGAAGTATCATTGGCAACCTTCAGTCTCAAAAAACTATGGTATTGTGCTCTGGAAAGAGGTCCTAAAGCAGCATCTGGTGTGACTAAAAAGGCCAATTCGAGAGTGGCCATCCCTTCCACACTGAGGGCAGATATATTTTGTCCCCTGCCCAGCCCCCAGATTTAGCTGTTCCAGGACTGCCTCTTTGCCTCAGCCTGCCAAACAAGTGTCTCTTCAAATTGGAGAAGGCCAAGCTGCGTCTTTAGCCTCCAAGCTGAACGATCAGAGGTCAAGGTTTCCCAGTCATTAATGTCCATTCCCAAGGCCTTTAGATCTCTCTTGCAAATATCCTTACAGAACTATACATGTTTTAATTTTGCAAATATTAGTACAAATGGATCTAAATGCAATATAACTGTTCTTGGAGACTTTTGTGAATTTATCTGTCAGAGAAATCCAAATATATTAATTTAGAAATATAGTTAGACATATCTGCTAATAATCTCATTTTGGAAAAAACATTTTTTTCCAAAATTTTTCTGAATCTTGATACTGTTCTCTCAGACATTTTCTATGTCTCCTAACTTTGGGTTATCTACAGCTCTGATAATATTTTCTAATCCCTCATCAACATAAATATATCGAACTGTACAGCAGTGGTCCCCAACCTTTTTAGCTCCATGAACTGTTCTGGCAACATCGGTGGTGTCAGCATCAGGGAGAAGAGGATGGTTTCCTGTGCAATCTAGATCCCCTGCATGTGCAAATGAAGCTTTGTGCACTCACCTGCCGCTTGCGCAGCCTAGTTCCCAACAGGCCACAGATCACTACCACTCCACAATCTGGGGGTTTGGGACCCCTGCTGTATAAGACCTAAAGCAGATTCCTACAGAATGCAATTTGATAGCTCTGACCAACTTGACATGAAGCCATTATTCTTTGGGTATGATTGTTCAACCAGTTCTATATCTATTGAATGGGAATACAATTCAGCTCATATTCAGTTATCTTCTTTACCAGAATTTCAGGGGAAATTTGTCAAAAGCTTTGCTGAAGTCAAAGTGCCCTCCACTGCATTATCACTGTCAGCTAAACTGTTCTATCAAAAGAAGAGATCAGATTTTTTTTTCCTGTTTAATCATGTCCAAATGATTGGAAACTGCCTGGACAAGACCCTACAGTTTTCTTGGCAAGGTTTTTCAGAAATAGTTTGCCATTGCCTCCTTCCTAAGGGCTGAGAGAAAGTAACTGGCCCAAGGTCACCCAACTGACTTCATGCCCAAGGCTGAACTATAACTCATGGTTTCCCAGTTTCTAGCCTGATACCTTAATCACTACACCAAACTGGCTCTCTCATGATTTATTCTTAACAAATCAATGGTGGTTCCTGCCAAACAATGTATTGTTTTCCAAATCATCACAGACTGATTATTTAATCTATTCCAGAATTTAGAAAGAGTTCATGTTTCCATAGGACTCTACTTCCTTTGCTTTTAGCTCTGGGGAAAATGAAACTGTTACATCAGAACAGTTCAAAAAGCCCCTCAAAGGGTCTTGCATGAGTTCCTTCTTTGTACATTATCCATGCAGAAGCTTAAATTCAAAAACGGAAGAGAAACTTACTTGTATTTTCTGGCTACAATCCTTAGCAGATTTAGGGGTACTTAAAATCGCTGATTTCACAGCAGCATAGTCCAATTTGCACATAATAATGTATCTTAGTTACTTTATTTAGTTTCTAATATATATAATAAATTAAGTGCTCTAGGTAGGTGACAAAGTTATTTACAATACATACATTGTAAAATAAAGAATGAAAATAATATAATGCAATTAACAAATATAAAAAGTATACTTTAAATTGCATGTTTCTAGCTTTTAATTTAGCATAGTGTTAAATTCCATGCAATTTTTTTTTACAATCTGGCTGTTGCAATGTGGTATATCAAAGCAACTTTCTAAATAAATCATATCTAATTTTGGAATTTATATGGAAACAGCAAAAAGGCAGTTAGGAGATTTGAAGCACTGACAATTTGAAGACTTTCTAAATAATCTCAACAATTGTCAAGCATATATATAGACAAGAAAAGGCATTGAACATCTGATTTGTAGCTGAATCAGTTTCAGAAGCCAGTATGGTGTGGGATAACTCAGCTGCCCAACTTTTAACAGTCTGGGACTCTGGCTATACAAGAATTCAGGTAAAATACATCTGTAATTCAGAAAAAAGAAACAGACAGTATTTGAACCATATGCTTAGTCTTAATTACCCCTCAACTATGATTCACTCAGCCTTTTTTTATGTCTTTCTAGAGCAGTGGTTCTCAACCTTCCTAATGCCGCGACCCTTTAATACAGTTCATGTTGGGGTGATCCCCAACCATAAAATTATTCCCAAAACCATTGAAAATATGTGTTTTCCGATGGTCTTAGGCGACCCCTGTGAAAGGGTCGTTCGACCCCCAAAGGGGTCACGGCCCACAGGTTGAGAACCACTGTTCTAGAGGAACCATAAATTAACTATATGCATAGGCTTCAGTTAAGAAGCTGGGTTAAAATATGGTCCCTTTCTGGCTCATTTTGCAGTGTGAATCCAGCTAGATTGCATGTACTCCTTAGGGCAACCTAACAGCATCAAGTGGACTAGCTTTATATTACTGTATTATGTGCAAAGCTGATTTGGCAACAAGTCCCTTTATATCTCTATGAAGGAAGAAAAAAACTAAAACAAGCTTATATAAAAAGTATAAGAAAAAGAAAGAAATCAAACAGAAAGCTAAAATTGCAAGAAAGGGGGGAAAAGTTAAAAGAAAAATAGAAAAGAAAAAAAAGATAAATGACTTCCGATCTTTTTTAAAGCAGTTACAAGTTCAATTAATACATTTACCTCTTACTCGATAATTACAACATAATTCTTTCCTTTCTATAACCATAAAAATCAGAAAGCCTATGTTCATTTTTTTCTGTTTTAGACAAAACGTTCATAAGGGGCTTCTAGTCACCAATAAGTTTCACTGAAAAAGTGCGAGGCTTATTGGGTAATTTTCCCATACAAAAAAAAAACAACAAAAAATATGCACAGGAACGGTGTCTAAAGCTGCCCCAGGCAGAGGCACTCAGCCCCTGCTTTCTTTTCAGCATCCGCTAGCAGACGGGCTAGCCCAACCACTAGAACCTCGGTTAGCGCCGATCTCTTGTCAACGAAACTCGGAAAAGTTTAGATCGTCGTAGGAACGCGGCAAGTTTGTCCGCCACGCGCCGCTTTCTTGGCCGCCCTCAGAGGCTTTTGGCCGGACTTCTTCGTCCACCTGAGCGAGCCAGAATCGGACGTCAGCGAGGCAAGAGAAGTAGAAGCTCCTTGCTCCGCTTCTTCCGCTACCGAAACGACGGAAATGAAGAGGGCGGCAGCGGACCGGCAGGCGCTGCTGCCCACGGCTGGGGGGACTCTTTCTCCGGCCTCCGAGTTCGCCTCACTTACCTGGGGCGGCGGCCATGCCGAGCTTCACCTCAGACAAGTCGAGCTACCTCCTTATGGCCGGCAAGTCAGCCGGGGGTCCTGCCCCAGCCTCCTTCCGGCGCTTGTGGGGAGACAGGCTCCTCTCACGGCGACGCGACAGTTCTGGCGCCTCAGCGAGAACCGGCCGGCTGAGGGCGGCGACCACTTCCTCCCTTGCCCTTCTCCTTCCCCTTTCTCTGCGCCGGTAGAAAAGCGACGGCCGGCCCGGGCGGAGTTCCCACGACTAAGCGAATGGGGCCCCCACGGTCAGCCGCGCGTGCCTGGCGCAGGTGGTTCCTTCGGCGCAGCCCAGGAGCTGGGCGATGGGGCCACCTCAGCAGGCTTCGGGCAGTTAAGTGAAGCCCGCGAACCTCTGTGAAGATGGGGAAGGCGCCCATCCGGGGAAGCAGGATTCTTCGTTGCCGATCTTGGGGCGCAGCTTGCTAGCTTCTGTACAATACTGTATACAAAATAAATGACGAAGCACCGATCTCAGTGTTGTAGTTTAGTTCGTTGTATGCAGAGTGAGGAAAGATAATTGCTATATAAACACTAGTTCTTTTTACTTACAGTGCTTATAGGCTGTTCTGGTTAATCCACTTTACTAACTCTAAGCAGGGTGCAACTTCCCAAATCCATAATAAGAGTTAAAGTAATTTAACTCTTAAAGTTTTTAAACTCTTAAAGTAATTAAAACTCTTAAAGTTTTAATCATCAAAGATTAGAGCTAAAATCATAATAAAAAAGAATTATAAATATAATCAAACATTGTAACACCAGACAATTAAAGTAAATTACTCATCCAGAGGAGTAGTAATAGCTGCCCTGGCACCGAGGCTTGATAAAATAGCCTCCTCTGATTTTCTCAGGATCAAGAGGAAGGGTGCAGGCAAGGCAGTGTCAGCTGTAATACTGATAAGGAAAATTTCACTTGATTTTATAGGTGGCAATCTCTGATTGAGAGGAGTGAAGAGCTCACTATATTAGATTTATTGGCAGATAGATGTTATAGACAGAAAATGGTCCCACAAATACCAAGGCTCTGAACCCTGACTTTAAATATGACAACCTGCATCCTGAAGTGCACCACAAAATTAATCAGTGCAGCTCTCAAATTAGAGATGTTTTAAAGGTGCTTCAGTACTCATAACCAGTACTCATAACCAACTAGAGCCACCACATTTTGGACTATCTATAGCTTCCAAATGTTCCTCAAAGGCAGTCCCATTAGCACTGCAATACTCCAAATGAGAGGTATCTAAAGTCTTTCATTCCGGCAAAGGTTTATCTAGCACCACGCTAACCTTTTCAGAATCCATGGGAAATTCTGTCTCTCTCTGTGGCTCTCTCATCTCTCTCTCTCAAATCTATATCTGTCTGTCTCTCTCCCTTTCTCTCATCTCTGTCTCCATCTCTCTCTCTCTCTTTCTCTCTCTCTCTCTCTCCTGTGTGTGTGTGTGTGTGTGTGTGTGTGTGTGTGTGTGTTTGTGTTCCCTCTTGAACCATTTCCAAAAACAGGCAAGGGTTGGATTTATTTATTTTTTTGGCTGATGTTGTTCTTTCTTCTTCTTTAGGTGTTTTTTACCATACGATTTAAATCAAGAATCATTTTAGGTTTCCAGATAAATGAAGCTCTTTCATCCCCCTGCTGTAGCTACCTGTCGGCTGAATCCACCACTGGATGGCCCCGCCCCTCGCCCTCCGCTCCCAGTCACTTCTCACCTGCCTTGAGGAGTTGTCCGCCCCATGATACTGGCCCGGCCCGGCTGTGGCCAATGCTCTGCATCGTAATGGGTTCCAGGAGGACAAAATGCCCTCTCCCCCATTGTGAAGAACACTAAATTTAACTCTGCTGCAAGAGCAGCGCGCAGGCTATGGAAGTGGCGAGAGAAGTGGCGTCAGCCACAGCTGGGCCAGGCCAGTGTCTCGGGGTAGAGAGCAAGTTGCGTGTCTCCCCAAGCAACCGAGGTGCACACAGCACCAACAAGGGCTGGAAGAAGCACCCACAAGATGGGGCGCTTCACTCCCACTCTAGAATATGGAGCAAGTCTCCATCCCTGGCCATTGTCCTTACCTTCTCAGGGCAGGCAAGGAATGATTGAAAGGGGAGGGTGAGGGGCAAGGCCAGGCAGTGGTGGGTTCAGCCAACAGGGAGACACAGCAGGGGACAAAAAAGCCGCATGTAACTCTGTAGCCGTAGGTTGCCAACACCCGTTCTAGGGTGTTAGCTATTCCTGCCAGTTTAGTATCATCTGAAAATTTGGAAAATTCCCCTTCTATTTCCTCATCTAAGTCGTTTATGAAGGTATTGAAGAGTACTGGGCCTAAGATGGAATCTTGTGATACCCCACTGCTTACTTCTCTCCATGTAGCTGTGGCCCTGTAAAGGACTACTTGTTGAGTACAGTTTGTCAGCCAGTTACTAATTCATCTGGTGGTGATGCTATCTATCCCACTTTTTTCTAGCTTATGAAGAAGTAGGTTATGGTCTACTTTGTTTAATGCCTTGCTCAAGTCTAAGTATATTATGTCCACAGTATTTGGCTGGTCTACTAATTTAATCACTATGTTGGCAAGATCTGTTTTAACAAACCCATGCTTGTTTCTAGTTGTTGCTAGATCTGTTTTTTTTTTTTATTATCTTTTCCAGTATCTTCCTGGGTATTGATGTTAGGCTGATTGGTCTGTAGTTTCCTGGGTCTGTTTTTTTCCCCTTTTTTGAAGATGGGAGCCCTATCAGCTCTTTTCCAGTCCTCTGGTAGTGCTCCAGGATTTTTGAAAGATGTGGTATAATGGTTCTGAGATGACATCTGTCAGCTCCTTTAGAACTCTGGGATGTAATCCATCTGATCCCAGTGATTTGTATTCATCAGGATCAGACAGGTGTTCTCGTACTATTTTTTTGCTTATTTTAACTTTTGTTTCTAGTCTGTCTTTTACAGTTGTTTTTGGTAGGTTGGGCTATAGTTTCTTTTTGTGTGAAGACCAATGCAAAGAATGAGTTAAGCAGCTCTGCTTTCTCTCTGTTGCCTGTTACTTCCTTGCCATCTTCTCTCTTTAGTGGACCAACTGTTTTCTTGATTTTTTTTCTTGTTATTTATATGTTGAAAGAAACTTTTTTTACTATCTTTGACTTTTGTTGCAAGTCTTTGTTCATTCTGGATATTTGCTGATATTCTGCCTTAATTCTATGTCCCTTTTTCCATTTTTTGTACTTGTCCTTTTTGTCTTTCAATTTTTAACAAAGTTAAATAATTCTTTTTGTCTAATTTGAATCTTTCTTTCATTGCAGATATGTAAATCAATGACAGACTTAAACTGTTCAGCCCATCTTTGTAACAGCTTACGACTATGTCCTTCAGCCAGTCAAGCCAGTGTGCGGTCGAGTTTGTTTTTGGTTTCTTTGGTGCTGCGTGGGCTTGAGGACTAGTGCTAGAATTGAGAGCTAGAATTGCTTTTGTAAGTATTTTAAAATATTCTTTTTTCTTATTCTGTAGTGCTGTACAGTTTGTTTGTAAGCACTTTGGGAATTGCTCTGCTTTTTAAGTACTATGCTTTGCAATCTATTGTGTTTGTAAGTACAGTACTTTGCAAAGATAGTCTGTTTGCATTTGCCTTGAAACTGCTTGTAGAAATGCATGCCAGCATCTCCAGAAAAGCATTCTATAATGCGGGTGTCGGCAACTCATGGCTTGGGAGCCACATGTGGCTCTTTCATCCCTCTGCTGCGGCTCCCTCTCGGGTGATCCCACCACTGGCTGCCCCCACCCCTCGCCCTCCCCTCCCAGTTACTCCTCACCTGGCCTGAGAAGATAAGGGAGATGGCAGAGGATGGAGATTCACTCCATAGAGTGGGAGCAAAGCACCACTGTACTTGCCTCACCTCTTGCTGGGTCTCGCAGGCGCTTCTTCTGGCCCTTGTGGGTACTGTGTGTCCCTCCCTGCTCCGTCCCACCTGCCACTGTGCCCACCTCCCCTTGAATGGCTTAGCCAGACGGTGCGGCACCTGTCTTCCCTCCCAGAGCAGGTAGGGGTGGGCACCTGTCCGCCAGCCTCTCCCACTTCTTGCTGCCGCTGTCCAGCCCCCGCTCTGCCCGGGAGATGCTGTGCCGCTGCCTCGCCAGTTGGCGGGAAATGCAATGTTGCCAGCAGCCAGAGCCTCCCTGGGGCTGAGCAAGGAGTCCCTGCCGGGGCTCCCTGCAAGGCACAGAGGCCACAGGAGCCCCTCGGTAGTGCCTCTGCTTCCTACCTGTGTATAGAGGTCAGCCAGTGCCATCGCTGCAGTGGCGGTGGGGAAGGTGCGCGCCTTGCCTGCTCTGCTGTCACCGGCCAGAGGTGGGGCTCCGCACCACCATCTCCCAGCCAGAGCACCATGTTTGTTTGCTTGCTGGCCACCTCCGAGGAGGGAGCTGCCCTTGTGCCACCCGGGCCCCTGCCACGGGGGGGGGGAGAGAGAGAGAGGGAAGGGGGAGGTACCTCCCCAACAGGATCTGGGTTGGAGTTGCCTTATTTTGCGTGAATCTCCAATGCTTAGCTTTGCCTGCCAGCCTCCACTCCCCCTCTACAGCCCAAGTTGGACTCACACGACACGTGAAGCTGGGCAGGAGAACACAGATAGATAGATAGATAGATAGATAGATAGATAGATAGATAGATAGATGAGACACAGAGAGAGACAGACAAAGAGAGACAGAGCAGAGAGACTCAGAGGGAGAGAGAGAGAGAGACGGAGACAGAGGGCGAGACAGAGAGAGAGAGATGCCTGTTTCCCACAGAAAAGAGAACATGGGGAGCCACAAAACCTGGTTAGGCATGGCTGGGGGGGGTGTTATGTGACTAGGTGGGTGTGAGTGACATTGAGTTGGCTACGCCCATCCAGGTTTTGTGGCTCCTGGAGTTTTCTTTTCTGTGGGAAATGGGTCCAAATGGCAGACCCCTGCTATAATGTGTTTCCTTGCTTTTTTTTTGGAGATTAGTGTATTACTGTAGTTTGTAGGTTTTAAATTTAAATTGCCTCCAAAAGTTGTGGGTGCCCCATCACTGGAAGCTTTTAAGAAGAGACTGGGTAGGCATTTATGAAAAATACTCTCTTGTGAAAGCAGTGGGTTAGAAGACCTCAAGCTCCCTTCCATCTCTTTTACTGTTGCAAGAGTTCTGTAAATTCCTCCCCCCATTTCCTTCTGGGTGCCTGGCTGGAGACTCTTAAGCTAATTACTGGCAAATGTTTTTTTTTTTTTAAAGCAACTGCAAAATAAAAGCTGTTACTTTTTCCAAGCCTCTTCTTGGGTCTCTCTTTGGCATTCTGGTAACACAGGTACATTTTGGGACTTTATATTTTTAATAGCTAAACAGCATAGCTAAACTCAGTTTATAACAGCAATATATCAGAATAGACTTGCTTTACACTATTTGTTAGCAAAAGAAGGTGGTGTCTGTAGAAAATTTAATCTCACAAATTGTTGTTTGCAAAATTGATGACCAGGGAAAAGCTATACAAACTATGGGACAACTGCCAAAGTATGGCAAGTCACTCACGCCCAGATACAGACTTGGACTGTGGCAGTTGACTTCAACTGATTTGGCAGTATCTTCTCTGACTAGTAAAGGATTGGGTTTCTAGTATTATTAAGCTTTGGAGATCTCCTTCTCATCCCGTTTCATTCCCTTAATCCAGCGCATAGTTAAATCAACCATCACTGGGATGACAGTTATAGCCTCCTCTATGTCTGCTACCCCTTCCGATAAACTGGCAAATATCATGGTCTGTTGTGGCTCCGTTACCTGAGCCTGTGTCATCAGCAGGAGAGGACTCCAAGAGTGAAGGAGAGGAGTTGGCAAGGCCTCCCTCTCCAGGACCCTCCTCTTTGGCAATGCCTTCGGTGTCCACCGAAGGGCAAGAGATAGGGCTGGTGCCAAGCATGTCCACGCAGCCACAGGTGGACAGTGATGAGAGTAATGAGTCTTGGCTGGATCCTTGACAGCATCGCAGAGATAAGCGCGCGCAACAGAAGAAAAGGCGTGCCCGAGATTAGGCTGAGTCACTGGGCCACACCCCACAGGGTATAAAAGAGAGCGTGGTGGCCAGTCAAGCCTTGTGACGAACAAAGCTGAAAGCTTCCACGCCATTCTGCATTGCCGGACTTTTGCTATAGACTTTGCTGGATTATATGTGGACTTGATTTACTCTGTAATTATTGAACATTTTACTTTGATGTACCAGAAGCAGAGAGACGTTATCTCTTCCCTTCGTGAGTAATAAACTCTTGGCAGGCAGCCACTAGGTTGCTGCCAAGTTCCGTTATCATAAGGAAAAGGATTTTGTCAGTTGGTTTGGTTTTTAACTCTTGGACGTCTGTTGGTGTGTGTGTGTGGGACGGGGACAGAACATGGTCCTCAAGACCATCCCCATTAAATATACTCCCCTAATACACCATTGACAGGACACATCCTGTCTTAAAAGAAAAGGGAAGAATGTAGGGACATAATAGTAGAATAGGTAGAATTTGTGGGACATAATAGAATCAGTAGAATTAGTTTAATTTGCTATTTTGCTTCTGTAAGAATTAGAATTGCCTCTGCCATTTGCTTCTACCAGTGATCTAACTCCTTGTTTTTCTGTACAACTCAGTGCCTGATGCGGGGTATGTCATGATGGCCTGGCAGGGTTACATTGGGCAAATACCTGTGTTGCTAAGCCCCCAGCCCCCGTTCCTTGTTGCACTGGCGAAGGAGAGCATGGACACGCAGGGCTACAAGAAATGTGCTAAGGGGCCAGAGTTGGGTAACCTGCAGGTATAAGATGTTCATCATACTCTCTGTAGGTGTGATTTTTCCCTTGCATGCTTGCCGCCTGTATGCTGTGGGAAATTGTCCACCCAACGATTTTGTTTTGCAAAATAAAAGCTGTTACTTTTTCCAAGCCTCTTCTTGGGTCTCTTTGGCATTCTGGTGACTCAAGTACATTTTAGGACTTTAAAACATGATTAAAAGGCCCGCTGTTTTATCCATTGCAGTGCGCAGTTTGCTGTGGGGTGAAGCACCTCTGAGCTTGGCTGTTTTTTTGCACACATTTCATTACCCAACTAGGTAACAGCAGTGCAACAAAATAACCAAGCTCAAAGGGCACCAAGACTCCGCATTTAAATCTTGGGCTAAAAATATTCCCCCTTACTGGTAAAGCACCTTTATGTCCGGCCCCTTTCAGTGAAACAAACATTTCTGTCTGGAAGAAAATTTGGCAACAAAAAGAGCCATTTCCTTGCCTCCTTTCCCCGCTTTGCCTGCCTGGCAGGGGAAGGGTGGGGAGAGAAGCAGGAGACAGTGGGTCATTCGCTGCCAGCCCTCTGGATATCCTGCTTCCTCCTCTCTCTCTGTCATGAGCGGGTAGGAAATAACCCTGCCTGCTTTCCTTATCTTGCCACTTTGGCCTCAAACACAGGTTGGCAAGAGAGGTTGCGCAGTTGGACTGCCAGCATAGGGAGAACCTCTGCTCCCGTCGCCCAAAGACAAATGGCTCAGAAATCCAGGGGCCACAACTGAGCAGCAGGGGGAGGAGTCCCGGGTGGCCAATAGGAACAGGGCGGGAGCGCCTAGTCTAACCTCATCTCAGCCCGATTTTATAGACCAGAGGCCTTCAAACTTGGCCGCTTTAAGACTTGTGGACTTCAACTCCCAGAATTCTCCAGCCAGCATTCCGGGAGTTGAAGTCCACAAGTCTTAAAGCGGCCAAGTTTGAAGGCCTCTGTGATAGACTGACCCCAACAACAGCTTGCCCCTCCCTTCACAGCATTATATGCAGCAGGTTTGGAAAGCAGCGTTTGTTGTCTTCAGAAGCTGCTGCAGATTTTTCCCTTCCGCAACAGGTAGCTCTCACTGTAGTCGCGGAAAAGGCTGCACGTAGAAGCGCCACTCTAGTTTTATATATCTAAATGCTCCTCCCACCGAGCATCCGGCGCGGCGCCTGCCTTTTCCGACGACAAGATGGCGGCGGAGCGTGCGGTGCCGAGTGACTTGTTCCCGCTGGTGCTTGCTTTCTTGCGGGAGAACCATTTCGATGGGGCGGCGCGGGCTTTTGGGAAAGCGGCTGGAGCGGTGAGGCCAAGGTGGCGGGCACGCCTGGAAGGGCATCGTCCGACGTGACTGCCGCAGTTTGGGAAGTGCCTTTGGGAGGTCGGCGCGGCTAGGACAGCCAATTGATTGCCGGCAGGGCAGGTGTTCCCAGGGGGGAGTGGGGATGAAGGGAGGCCGGAAGATATTATCGAGGTCGATTGCAGCCTTTAGGGAAGCTTAGATGAAACCTTACGGGAATAGTGTGGCCGCACGTGGCATTTAAAAGAAACGCTGCTACTCAACTATTAGCTATTTGGGGGGGGGGAATTCCTCAGGATTTAGAGTGTTACACCCCCTCCTCGTCCCCGTGTAATTGCTGTCTCTGAACTGCCCTTGCTTAGGTATAAGCGTGTAGCAAATAACAGTACAGGTAGTCCTCAACTTACGATCACAATTGAGCCCAAAATTTCTGTTGCTAAGTGAAACATTTGTTAAGTGAGTTTTGCCCCATTTCACCACTCTTTTTGCCACAGTTGTGAAGGGAATCACTGCAGTTGGTAAATTAATAACACCGTTGTTATGTGAAACTGGTTTCCCTGTTGACTTTGCTTGTAGAAGGTCACAAAACGTGATCACATGACCCCGGGACACTGCAGCTATCATAAATGTGAGTCAGTTGCCAAGCTTCTGAATTTTGATCACGTGACCTTGGGGATGTTGCAATGGTTGTATGTGAAAAACGGCCATACATCACTTTTATCAGAAATGTAACTTTAAGCAATCACTAAATGAACTTGTAAGTCAAGGACTACTTGTACTGCCATTAATACTATATTATATATTACTTGTATATCTTAGTTTATGTATTACTATTATAAGAATCTTAAAAGGCTTTTATAGGAAACAGTATGCACTAAATTGATAAATTTAGTGTATATTGCATATGCATAAATTTAAACTTTTAAAACAATTTAAATAGAAAACCTAGAAGTAATCTTATTTCTTCAAATAAAGTTCTGAGTGTTACCTTGCAAGATATAATTTCTTTCTACCAGTAATATTACCAATAATAACCAACTAGTTTTGCTGATGCTTTTAGTTTAGTAAACCAAGCAAATTGTATTGTGGTCTCTTTAAAAGCATTTATCAGTGCTTGAAAAACTGGTGGCCTTCAGGTAGCTGAATTGTTTCATTGTTAAATGTACTACAGCTAGTCCTCAACAACCACAATTGAGCGCAAAATTTATGTTGCTAAGTGAGAAATTTGTTGCAAGTTTTGTTCCATTTTACAACTTTTCTTGCCACATTTGTTAAGTCAATCATTGCAGTTGTTAAATTAGAAACATGGTCATTAAATGAATCTGGCTTCACCCTTAGCTTTGCTTGTCAGAAGATTGCAAAAGGTGATCATATGACCCCAGGACACTGCAACCATCATAAATGTGAGTCAGTTCTCAAGCATCTGAATGTAAATCATGTGACCAGGGGATGCCACCAGTGGTCATAAGTGTGAAAAAATGGTCATAAGTCACTTTTCACTGCCGTTGTAACTTCGAACAGTCACTAAATGAACTGTTTAAGTTGAGGACCATCTGTATTTGTGGGAAGAATGCTTTATGTAACAGCTCTGTACTCATGATATAGGATGTTAGCAAGATGACAGGATTGTTATATTTATCTCTAACCTGAACTTTTCAATCACTGTCAACAATATTATCTTTTTTTTTTCCCAATTTTCATTTCCTTCATGATTCTTTTGTAGACTGAGCAAGATCCAAATGCTGCTTCTCTCCTTGATATCTTCAATTATTGGCTAAAGTAAGTAGCTTCTCTTCAGGGAAAAGATTATATATTTCTGTTTTAAACAATTTAGCCAGCTAGCTTATTTTTTTAGTGATTTGCCATGAGCTTTAAGTCTTTCTGCTGTGGATGTATGTGAAACTAGTAATTAAAAGGCTGGGAGTCTAAATTAGAGAGGAGCAACATCCAAACTTTGCAGCCTTCAGGGTCCTGCTGTTTGTGATGGCTGGAAGTTGGCAACAGTTTCTCACCAATCCCAGAAAATACGGAACATGTGTCATTTGTTCTAATACTTATTTCTAATAGACTCTCTGAAACCAGAGAAAAAATTCAAGTGTTAGTTACCCAGTTCATTTTACAATTGGCAGTGAATACAGTGATGTTGCCCCAACTGTGGCATCCTATACGGCTGCCATAGTTGTGGCAAGATCACTTCACAGTAAGCAGATACATGGAATAAAAATTAGCAGAATACGGAACATATTGTGGCTTGGGGTTTAACAGGATTGTGGTTGAATCAAAATTTGGAATTATATGGCTCTTCAGGTTTTGACTACAACGAAGTCCAGATGGGTCTTCCAGAGTGAATAATCCCATTACCTTCTTTGCCTGCAACGGCTATACTCCTAACTTAGCCTTTGACCTGTTTCTTTCTCCATTTGTCTCAGCCATTTTTTTTCTGATTTTTTCACTGCTACACTATGCTCCCAACCTACACCTAACCCACTCCCAGTGCTGTTTTTTTCCCTGCTGCTACCTTGCTTGAATTCAAGTGAAACAGGAGCAACCTGACTGGCCTATCCACCTTGCTCTTGATTATCCCAGCTCCTTTTCTCAGTATGCTATCACTATCTTGGTATTGCTGCCTCTGCAACACATATCTGGACAAAAAAAATGTGGGTTCTGGGTCCAAACAAAACAGTTGTCCAGGCAAGGGCATGGTATGCTCTATTTACATAATGTTTCAGACATCTTTGTAGTTGAGTAAAATGCATTTGTTACATGACTGTTTGTTCAATGACTAAGGTTATAAAAGCACTGAACAAATTGTGATTAGGAGAAATCTCAAGAGTTCCAGCCATCCCAGCACTCCTGTGGTCTTGTGATCTGTTGGTTTGGCAACCAGTTTGAATTTATGACATAGCACCCTAGAATCACATTTGTAACCTTCCCTAGAAAGTCAGTGGGGAAGCCAGCAGTAAAGTTGCAAGTTTTTGAATAAATCCCCTCCCACCCATACACCGTCTTCCCAGCCCCTCTGTGCCTCATCATGCTGGTCCTTTTGCACACCCACAGCACTCCTCCAACCCTCACTGCGCCCTCACATACCTTTCATCCACTACACCCTTCATACCTTTGTATGTTCCCCCAAATCTGCATCTCTCATATACCCCCTTGCACACTCTCCCTGATCTGCACTATGCTCTTGCTTACCCTTGTGCACTCTCCCCATTTCTCCCCTCTTCTGAATCCTGTGCATCCTCCTGCTGTGGCATCTAGTGCACTCCCTTGCATCCTCCCAGATCTTTGCCACACCTTTTGCATACCCTTTTGTTTTCTCCCCCACCTGGCAGCAGCCACCTACCTACTTGCTTGCAACTTCCTGCTAGCTTTCCCACTGCCTTTCATTGTGAGAAGCCAGAAGAAAGTTGCCTCGCCGAACAACCATAAGATTCAGTGAAGCAATAATAACCTGATTTGTGCTTTACAACTGCATTGTTTAGAGATAAAAATTCTAGTCCCAATTGTTATAAATTGTGAAGTATATGTGTATAACTTCATGAGGTTTATCTGCTAGCAGCTATATGTTATAAAGGCACATATATTTGTAAATAAATGAGACATGCTTCATTTATACTATATAAAGAAGTAAAATTAAGGTTGTGGCAAATTTACTATTAGTTTCCATTTTTATACTAAATTATTCTATACTCCTTTAATATTAATAAACTTTGTTTTTCCAAGAAATATTCATTGTATAGGTTAATAAGATACCAGAAGTAACCACATTATGTCTGCAGGCATTATGAATATTTCAAATGGGCCCTTTGGGATTGTTTTTAATTACAAATTGAGATTAAAAGGCTATAAATATAATCACAGCTTCTTGACTAGTTTAATATTTATGAATATTTAGATGAATGTTTTCATTTTCTCCCAGTTTCTATATTGGAGCATAAGATGATCTCTTTTTCAGTCATTGGATATGCCCAGCTGTGTTTATCTTCACAAACTGGCTCCAATCATATGTCTCCTGAACATTCCAAAGCTTAATATGGAATAATGATTCTTATACATTGTCACTCACCCATCCATTCAGATCACCTATTGCCAAAAAACAGCAAGCATTTGCAAATGGGTCTCCTGTGAAGAAGACAAAGAAAGAATCATCTAGATACAAAACTTCCAGCGAAAATGAAATCCCTCCAGTCAAAAAGCAAGGTGAGGCTTGCTGGTTTATGTCTAGTGTAATATTTCATGCTTTTTCAAAGTGGTTTGTTATATTACTGATAAAATGTCTCACGATTTGATTCCCCTTTTGACTCGGAGAATGATGTTTTAGCAGATATTTGTTTACCATTATGAAGGAGTTTTTATCAAGTCTTCCAATTGCCAGAATGCATCCAAACATATTTATTTTAGAACACCCAAATTCAACCACAGTTTCAGTTGAGAAACTGTAGTTATCTTAGATTGAAACCAGATCTAGAAATGCAAGAGAATTTCTTGATGTATGATACTCCGAGAAGCCGTCATTAGCAGACCTATTTAGATAAGCTCCATGTCAGGCCTGTTCCAGCTCAGAACCCTTAAGAAATAAAAACCCTCGATTCCATTTGGTTGAAATGATAGGTTCTTTTACTAGGTTAAGTGGTTGCAGCAAAAGAAAGGCTAGATCTTAAGATTTCTGTGCAAAACATATTTTCCCCCTTCCCCTGGCCCTCCCCCCTTGACTAGACCATCTCCATCTAATTGCATACTGTTTAGATGTTTTGGGAACAGAATGGATGGTTGGAGGTATGAAGCAGTTTCACATTTTGTTCCCAGGTCGGGTATTTGCTGGTTCTCACACTTCTGATTTCCGTCAAGGCTCTCACCCTCCTTTCCTCTCATCTCCATTCCATTTTCCCTTCCTTCCCCCCCTCGCACTTTATGACAGGATGCCAGCAAAGCGTAAAAGCTGAAGATGGCAGATCTGACACTCCATCTATGAATGTTCAAGAAAGAGAGCAATCAAAAGTCAAGGAAAGATGCAAACAGACCTAAATACACTCTTCTTACACCTGTTAACCAGCATCCAAATAAACAAGAGCAATCAAGATTCAGTACCACCTAAAAAGCTATTAAGGAAGGCAAGGCTGTTAGAATAAGCTACCATATTAAAATATCCAGGAAATCCCACTCCCTCCCCCACCCACATGTTAATAAAACCTAGTTATAAAATGCTTGCAGGAATATTAATGATGTTAGTGAAACCTGGTAAAATGCTTGCAAGAAGAGCAGCAGGTCTAGAGAATAATCCAGTTTTTTATAGAACACATGGTGTGGGGATTTCTACATACCTTTCTACCACTGTCAATAGGAGAAAGCAAAATGGTTCCACACTGAGATTTGTGCAGCATAGTGGTCTTAAGAGCATGTACAAAATGAAAATTATAAAAAGTTTTGTTCAGAGCTTGAAACAAAAAACACCATTTAGAATATTCCACTGGAATTTTTAAGTGAGTTGTAATGTGACAACCAATTTGAAATATGTAATTTCCTGCCATAGGAAATACTGGGAATTCAAAACAAGCTCCGTGTTTCCTCCTGTGATTGGAGGTGTTTTTAGCTGCTTTGACTCTTCCATTGCACTGATAGATAGGACAAAACCATTTCTTTCATGGCTCTTAGGAAGCTTTAAAGAGCCCCTCCCTACCTATGTCAATTGACTGACAAATTCTAGAAAAAACTCTAGTTCAAAATGAAAGACAAGTGTAAACCAAAAAGCCATCTTCATAAGAAATGAGTTCTGGGTGTCTTCATCCATAAGTATAAAACATCCATTTCATGATAAATCGGGTATTCCCTCCTGCATCTGGTGGATATCGCCATGTAGTCTCAGTTTGGGGAACTCCTTGCTGAACTTGTTAAGGAACAAAACAGCACTTGTTATAGCACTTGTCTGCTGAAAGAAGCTTCAGCCAAGATCTATACCTTGTTTGTAGTCCTTCACAAAGACTAGACTGCTGTTCTTTACTCTGATTACAAAAGAAAGCTCACTCCTTTCTGTTCATTTTTTTCTAATCATTAAAACCACAAATCATTGTATTTTTTCCATTTTATACAAAAAGGGTTTCTGATCAGTCATAAATGTAGATGTTTTTTCTTTAAGAAAAATTAATTTAGCCGTGTCTACAAATTCCTTCATCCTCACCAACCATTCTTCTGTTAAGTGTTAATTGAACATTTCCACTCTTGAGTATATGGTAGTCTTGCTGCAATTACATATCATACGAACAAAAGTTTCATCAATTTTTTTCTAGTTGCTTATCCATTAGTCCCCAAAGAAAAGTCTCTGGTTTCAATTGTATTTTAATCTTTAAAATCTTCTGAATTAATATATGTATTTGTATCCAAGATTCTTTAGCTTTTTAATACTTCCAAAAAGCCTGATAAAATGTCGCTTTATATTATTTATATTTCCAGTAAAGATTCAAAATATCTTTATACATTCTAGATAATTTCTCTGCTGATAAAAACTAATGATATATCATTTTATAAAAATTCTCTTTAAGGTTGTAACATAATGTAACCTTCAATCCTTTCAAATGCACATTTTCCCATTGGACCATCTGCATTCTATAGACCAGTGTTGGCAAACCTTTTCAGCACTCAGTGCTGAAATGGGAGCGTGAGTGCGCAGGAGCACTGGAAACCAGAAGTGCAGTTTCCCGGCTCACATGTGCGCACCCAGGAAGCTGAGCTTCTGGCTTCCGTCATGCGCCGGTCACCTTGTCTTCTGGTTTCTGGTGCGCATGTGCGCGCAAAGACCAGCTACTGGCGGTCATGTGCATGCTGGAACCCAGAAGAGCAATGGGTGACGGCTGGTGTGCCTGGAGAGATGGCTCTGCATGCCACTTCCGGCACATGTGCCATAGGTTCGTTATCACTGCTATAGACAGTGTTTTGCCTATCATGTATACAATTTATCATACATTATTTCACTTCTGTCTCATGTCTCAACAAAAATGTATACATTTTAACAATTACATGCTAATCATTAGTATGTAATTCAACCTCAATATTATTTTGTTCAAAGTCAAACATCTTTCTGAGTAGAATCTAAATTTATATTTATTCCATGCTGTTAAGAATAGCCCACCTGACATAATGATTTTTAAAATTTACATTTACTTAAACTTTATCATATCATAAATTTCTATGCCACCCAAATCTCAAATTGTGACTTCCTAAATCCAATTGCCTCTAACAACACCCAGTCTCATCCAAATTAAACAACAAGCAGCAAAATATAGCTTCAAATCTGGTAGGACCCATCCTCTTTTCTTCACATCTTTAATATCTTGTACTTAACTCATGGCTGTTTTCTTTGCCATACCAATTTAGATATATTCATCTGCCATTGTTTAGATGGAACATACTGTATATTGTAGTGTATTCTTGATTTAGATTAGTGGGTGCTGGGATTTATACTGAAATTTTAAATATTATTATTTTAAATTCTAGCTGCAAAACCAGTGACTGTGTACCCAGTACCAATAAAGGCAACTTCAGGCAGTTCTGAGAGCAGCAGTGCTGATAACACTGACTCCACAGACTCTGAGCAAGAAGAGAAGAAACCAGCAAAGGTTTGTTTTTAATTTTCTCAATATCTTTTCCACAGAGAAAACCTGTGGAGTTTGTTTATCATCACTGACCACATTTAAAAACTCATCCAAAGGAAGTAATATAAATTCAAAACATAGAATCAAATAAGATATATGCACAAATCCTGACAATGAAATCATAAAAGTAAAAATTAGCTGCTGTTTGGTCTAGTTTCTGTACTTTAAAATAGTTGATGCAATAAAGTACCTAACCAATCCTGGTACAGCAAACAGTGCATCTAGACATGACTTATTGCTTCACTAGTTACAACTGAGCATATGCAATGGTGATAAGGAATGTTATTAAGTCTCCCTCCACCAGGTTCAAGGATAGAACATTTTATTGGCTACAACATATCATGTGCCAAACAAGGTCAGTGAGGTTCTTTAATGTAACTTGAGGAAATGAAGCATTATTTTTCCATTGCAAAAACAATGGAGTTTTGAAAGAACAAAGAGGTAATATTTCATTAGCATAGTTTGTTTCTAAAAAGTTATTACTTTTTGTTTTCTTAAAGTTCTGTCTTTTTCCAGTTTATCATTATTCTTTGGCCTTCTGTTTTTATGTATGAGCTGGTAGTTTTGGATTCCCAAGAAATGTGTTTTTGTAATGGGGATAGTTGCTTAATTTAAATCCATATAGCTGAGCCATAAAGCTGAGCTTTATTTTCTTTGTGAAGATGTATTGGAATAAGGCCTTTTAACTTAATCTTCTATATCCTCTTTTAGCGCAAACATCTTTAGCGCAAACATCTTTCTGCATGAGGAAGAAAATATCTTTAAGAAGTAGTTTGGAATAGTGAAGAGAAAGTTCCTGAAGTACAATTTTCAACTTTAGATCTGTCTGCTTGTAGATCAAAGTCAAGAACGTGGTGTTTGGCCTCAGTGATAGCTTTCTCCAGATTTGTGATTGTTAGTACTTGAACTGAAAGAGAAAAGTTAATTGTTATGTTGTTTTTTTAAATATGAGAAATTACATTCATCTACAAGAACAAATAAGGTGATTTTGATAAAATTGGGGTACATTTGTGTGCTTCACAACAGAATTTGGCTTTGAACATTTTACCTGCAGAAAGAACCAGAATGTTATCTTTTTGATATGATTTACATATCAAATTCTCTCATTTATGGCCCTCTGTGCATGAAAGGGATTTGTGGGTGATTGATTTCCAGCGGAAGGTGTATTTAAAGCACTTGATTAATAGTTTTTCTTGGTGATAAAATTTAGCTAATACTCGAAGGCTTTTCTGGACCTGGGACAAATAAATAATAGTGTCACCATCATTGTATAATTGAATTAGGACGGATGGGTGTTAATGCTGAAGAATGAAACTTGTTACAGTTTGAAATGACAAATGCAGTGAAAATATTTCTTGAAATACATACTCTAAGCTGGCTCAGAGATTTGAGGCGCCTGAGTGGCGTAGGAGGCTAATGCCTCAGGAGCCTGAGTGGCGTAGGAGGCTAATGCCTCCTACTAAGGCAGCATTTAACATCCAGCTGCCTGCAATTACTGCGAGTTCAATTCTTACCAGACTCAAGGTCTACTCAGCCTTCCATCCTTTCTAAGGTGGGTAAAATGAGGACCCGGTTTGTGGGGGCAATAAGCTGACTTTGTATAAAATATACAAAAGTATGAAGGCTATTGCTTAACGCATTGTAAGCAGCCCTGAGTCTCCGGAGAAGGGCGGCATATAAAAATAAATAAAATTAAAAAAAAATTTATTCTGATTCTTAGTTTTGACAGTTGCTGTTAGGATAGAAAATAATGTGAAGCCAACAAAGTTTGGTACCCCTCACTTCCTGTTATACTCAGATATTTCAAGAGAGTTTTATTATACCCTCAAATTTTAGAGGAGTGAATAAGTTTGAATCAACAATAAGGCTCATCAGATAGCATTTACATTCTGTAATGTGTAAGAAATATTCTGTTGTAAATCATCCTTTACGTTGCAAATGTGCTAGAGAAACATGGATTTCTTGAAACTTTATGGTAATAAGCTTATCTGATATCTAAGACTACAGAGAATAATATTTAGGAATAGTTAGGTGCCTCTTTCAATAACATAGCTCTCCTAAAATGATAGGTGCTAAGTGAGAAGAATAATAGTTTTGAACAAGCTACACCCATCTGCTGTTGAACCTAGATCCATCCTAATTACATTACATTGTTGGACACTGATACTGACCTATCTTGATAGAAGAGAATAGCTCTCCAATCAACCATTCAAAAAACAAAGTCCCAGAAGACATCTAAGAGTTCAAGTTCAGATTCAAGCAGCTCAGAAGATGAAACTCCAAAGTACCAACCACCAAAGTCAGAAGGAGCCCAAAAAGTCATAAAACTGGCTTCTACATCAGGTAACAACTAACTTCAAGCTATAAGTTTATGAGTACCGTATTTTTCGGAGTATAAGACACCACCCCACCCCTCCACCCCCGAAAAGAGGCTGAAAATTTGGGCATATTTTTTCAGCCCTCACGAGGCGCTAGCGAGTAAAGAAATCTCCATGCTTTGCCTGCTTTTTTCATTGCTTCTCTTTCCAAAGAACAGTTGTGCTTTAGAAGCTGGTTTTTATCCCCAAGAAGCAAACCAGCAAACTAATGTGCTGAAGCTGACCAGACTAAGGATGCTAGCCAGATGAATAACTGATAGGCAGATTTTTTTTCCTGTTTTTTCCTGTTTTCCTCCCCCAAAACTAAGCTGCATCTTTTATTCTGGTCTTATACTCTGAAAAATATGGTAATTCAAGTAATGTATGAAAGGACTAAAGGAGACATGAATGTATTTTTAAAGAGATTTTTCTGTTCCCATTTTATAGAATATTTAGTCATGTTCTGATATTGAAACGTGTTGAAGAAATCTTAAGAGGGAGGGAAAAATGGGATAATATAAGTTGCTTGTTACTCAGGCTTGCTGCACATCTAGAGAAACAGCAATGCCCTCAGGTTGAAATGGAATAATTAAAAGATAAATTTGGAAGGGAATTTAGTTTTGTTTCATTTATAAGGTCAGTTCCTGCTCAATGTATGAATCCATGTAATATACAAGAGCAAACTTCTTACTGTTGCTTATTCCTTGTGCTTAATAAGTTGAATTAGTGGTTTACACTACTAATGATTCATATTTTTAAGTATAGAAAATTGATTAATTTCCTTTGAACTTTGGTTGGTTTCACATGTTGCCAAGTAACCTTGGATGCTGTTTTTGGAAATATTTTTATAAAGATATATTACAAAGAGATACTTGTAAAGGAGAGGGAGGACTGTTAAAACTATACAGTATTTAAAACTGCATATCTGGTTATCTGATGTTTCAATTTAATGGAAACATTTTAATCACAATTGGCAGCAAAACCTACCAAGGTGATGTCCAAAACTACCAATGGCAAGGCAGAGAGTAGTAGCAGCAGTGATGAGTCCAGTAGTAGCGAGGATTCCAGCTCTGAAGAGAATCAGCCTGTCAAAGTAAGTTATGAATCTTTGGTATGATAGCTAAATAGTCATTATTTATTTTTGACAAAGATAGAAAACTAAATATCCTTCTCTTCAGAAAACTTGTAAAGTATAGAAACTGCCAAGAGTTATTTGAAATTGCAGTATCAATAAATTTAATATATAAATAAAACCTCCCTAATTTTTACACATACAGAAAACCTAGTAGGGAGAGTACATTTGTATTGTATATACCATATTTTTTGGAGTATAACACACACCTTTCCCCCCACCTCCCAAAAAAAGAGGGTAAAAATCTGGGTGTGTCTTATACTCCGAATGTAGCCCCACGCAGCTTCTCAAACAGAGGTTTCAAAGGCTGAAAAAAGCATCAGAAAAGAAGCTTCAGAAAAGAAGCCCCCAAACAGAGCTTCAGAGGCTCTGTTTTGGAGGCTTTCAGAGACAGGAAAAAAAGTTTTTTCTGAAACAGTTTCAGACATTTCAGAGACACAAAAAAAAGAAAGGCACAGAGCTTACAAACAAGGAACTTGTTGCTAAAATTCACCTCTGGGAACAGCTGATTGGGGATATTCCGGGAGGCCGATGTACCTGCCAGTCAGCTTTTTTCTTATTTTCCTCCCCAAAAACTAAGGTGCGTCTTATACTCCGGTGCGTCTTATACTCGGAAAAATATGGTATGTGTGTTCCTACTATACGTGTGTGTTCCTGCATGCATGTATAAAATAGATATTTTGAAGACTCTTCTCCTGAAACTGACTTACAGAATAACAAAATGTTCTGTTACTTTTGTTTAATAGGACATGTTTAATGTCTGAAAACCTGTGCTGCTCTGTTACAATAATAAACCATTTATTCTCTCCTTCTGTTCTCTTCCTGAAAACTACCCAGAATGCTGTCAAATTCAGCATGAAAGAGTGCAATTCAATGCTCAATATTCAAAAAGACACATAATAGACAAGTTTCTGCAGCAAAATCAGATTTGATATTGTTGTAAATTGAGCAGCCACAATTTTTAGATAAAAGATCTTCAACATAGAGAATCCTCTTTATGAAGGCTTTTTTTAACCTTTCAATAGTATTGCAATGAAGGAGGTACATAAGTTTGACTTATCAAGATAATGATCCACCACTTTAAGTTCCTAACCCTAACTCACTTTAAGTTACCCTCACTTTCAGGCCCTCTAAAACCTTAAGAATAATATAAATGCCAAGCATCTGAATATTGATCAGATGAGCATGAGGTCGTAAGTGTGAAAAACAACTGTGTCATTTTTTTTCAGTGCCTTTGTAACTTTGAACAGTCACTAAATGAACTGTTGTAAATTGAGGACTACCTATATTAGTTTTTTGTATTCGTTATTCCCACTTTATTGGAAAAATATAATCCCAAAACAGTTTATTATAAACTTCCTTTAATAGCTTGTTTCCAATTAATTTAAAAAATTAGTCCTACTAAATGGGCTTTTAATACTCTAAATCTTATATGCTTTACAGTTGCTTTTCATAAAATTTTCATCATCCTAGCCAAACGTTTCTCAAAGATACTATTAACAATATTGATTCTAAATATCTTACGCAGTACTTTGAGTTTCCATCAGCAGTTAATTGTGGTCTGTGAACACAGTTAATAGAGAATAGTGCCCAAGAAAGTGAGGTATCTCCTTAATGGATTCTAAAATTAGGCAGGCAGGGAGAGGAAACGGTTACAATTAACCAAAGGTTAATTTCAGCAGCAAGTGAGGAAGAACTCTGAAAACACTCTCGGGCTTTGGGGAACTGCTGATCCCTAATCTTATCCTGTACAATGATATCTTAACAGCTTTCCATGTCTTTGGTTTGGCATTTGTATATAAGCAGCGTCTGACTGAATGATGATCATCTTGAAAATGGTGTTTTTTAGATTGATGTTGGGACAATTTTAGTTTTTTTTTTTTTTGTTTGTTTGTTTGTTTGTTTATAAGGGTAAACTGAAGAAACTTCCACACTATAAAAACAACACTGCTCAGCCACTTCCGGTTAAAAGCAAGCATGTAAAGAAGAGCAACAGTGAGACTTGTGACAGTTCAGAACATGAAAATCTAGCCTCAAAGCCCAAGCGTGGTGAGTTATTAAAAGAAGCTAGCTTCTTAATTTAGATGAAGATCTAGATAGAAATCTCCTTAAACTTCTGCTTGCTCAGAGGAAGGACCAAAGAATAGTCTTAACAGTCCAACAATACTTAAAAATCAAGTTTGTATTCTAGATTTTTTTTTCATTTTCTGAAGTAATATATTGATAAATGTATGATAAATGTGAACAATTTCATCAGTAGATATCATTTTTCTATTTTCTATTGCTACATTCTATATATGTGTATGCATGTGGGTGTAATATATACAACGCACATACACATATAGGAGGTAGCAATTGACAAGCTAATCCCAAATTGTTTTTTCCAGAGAAAAAGTTAGAAAATGGGCTTAGTAATGTACAGAGGTCATTCAACAAATGAATAAGAAAGTGTTTAAAAGAAAATGGCAATCGATTTGAACATTTAATGCAATTTATGTAGTTAAATCATGTACATATGTCTACAAGATCTAACTTTATCCAATATATGTTTTTGTGTGTGGCTGTCCCTCTCTTTCTTTCTCCCTGCTGTCTGTCATTGCAGGAGAGTACTCTGCTGTGCCACCCCCTTTAGCCATAGAATCAAGGAAAGGCAAAGCACACCTCATTAAAAAGACCTTTAAGAAGAAGGGAGAGAATAATGAGAAAAAAGAGCAAGTGTTCACAAAGAGACCATCAAGTATGTTTCATAAATAACTTGTATATAAAACTGATGAGATGTGCATATTAAAGAGATTCTTTCTTTGGTAAAGAGTTAAATCTAATCTATGGGAGAGAAATATGACTAATTGGTAGATACCAAAAGTATTAAGTAGTAGTAGATATTCTGGTAGATACATTCTTATTAATGAAGAAAAATTTCCTTTATTTATAGAAGGAATTTCAAATATAGGAAAGGATGCACTACTGTCCATCAGGCAGAAGGAGACATCTGATCCCTGCGATAGATGCAAGGAAGAAGAAAGGCTTTTCTTTGCCTTTTTTGCGTTTTAGGCTCAGGAAAACAATTTTCAGACAATACCTGACAGATCCAATTTGGATCCAATAAATACATCATTTATTAGTCATGTGCAGGTTGAGATTGGACATTAGTAAGGCAAAGAAATATAATGGCTAACAGGCATCTGGGCAGGGCTTTTTGTTATTGTTGGCTGATTTGAGCAGTTCCATGCAGTATGTGAGAAGACATTGGAGCAATCAGATCATCCTAAATCAGGTCTCCCAAAGCAGTCACCAATCTTCATCAGTCAGAAATTGGAATTTCCAAATCACAGTTGCAAGCTATTAATCATGTTCAGACTGCTAAATGCGCACGTTGAGGTTTGCTTTTTGACTTAGCAGGTGGTGAGAACAGTGCCTTTGTGGTGTGCAAATCATGGGCTTATATTACTTTACTATAAATGTGTCCCTGTGTTCCTCTTTTTAGTGTATCTGAATTTTCCCTAAGTTGTCTTTACCACAACCTGACAATAACCTGATGCCACAAATGGGGATTGACCATCCCCCAAACCCTGCCACTGTCAAAGTGGATCCCGGGCACTGTGCTGCAATGGAGAGACAGAAAACAGAGCGAGGGGAAGAGGAGCAGGGAGAAGAGGGAAAGTGGCTAAATGAGAAGCGGTGCCATCCCAGCTGGCTGGGCACTGAAGCACTGCTGTGAGAGCAAGAGAGCGATCTAATCCAACTTCTGTGTGAGTGTGAGAGAGAGATCCGATCCAACCTCGAAGAGTTAAACCATGGCTGGCGGCGGTGTGCACTCTCTCCCTCTGGCCCTCTCTCTGTCTCTCTTACACAAACACACACACACAGAGGTTTGATTAAATTGCGCTCTCCCTCCCTCCCTCCCACTGCACAGCCCCACTTTCTCACTGGCCTGCATCGCCCCACATCTCCGTTCTGGAAATGTCAGCCCCCTTTTCTGCCACTTCTCCAACCTGGAGAGCTAAGTTTTTCTATTTGCCATCCAAAACGGGTGCCGAGGCCAACCCTGCGGGAAGTGATCTGCTCAGGGGTGAAATGCTCCCAGTTCGGACCAGATCACCCGATCTAGTAGCAATGGCGGCGGGTGGTTCGGAGAACTGGTAGCAAAAATCCCTGTGCGCCGCCACCACCACCACCATGCCCAGCTGAGTCGTACGATCATCAGAGGCTTTTTTTTTTTTTTTTACTTTTAAAAGCATTTTTTCTACAACTTCTTCCGCTGAAAAAATGCTTTTAAAAGTAAAAAAAAAAAGCCTCTGATGATTGCGCGGCTCAGCTGGGATCTCCGAGACTTTTGAAAGCATTTTCCGGGGAAGAGGTGGTTAAAAAAATGCTTTGAAAAGGCTCTGAGATCAGGCAACACAGCTGGGATCGTCGGGGCCTTTTCAGAGCATTATTTTAACCACCCCAGAAGAGGTTGCAGAAAAAAATGCTTTAAAAGTCTCTCTGACGATCCCAGCCGAGTTGCCTGATCGTCAGAGAGACTTTTCAAAGCATTTTTTTCTGCAATCTCTTCAGCGGAAGAGGTGGTTAAAAAAAATGCTTTGAAAAGGCTCTGACGATCCCAGCTGTGTTCCTGATCAGCAGAGGCTTTTCAAAGCATTTTTTTGCATTTGCAGAAAAAATGCTTTGAAAAGTTAAAAAAAAAAAAAGTTGGCCACGCCTACCCAGTCACATTACCCACCACCACAAAGCTACGCCCACAGAACCGGTAGTAACAAATTTTACATTTCACCCCTGGATCTGATCCTCCACACAAAATCTCAAGGGCTTTGCAGAACCATACGTGAAGGGGAACCTGGCCTTCCTCCCACAGCTCCAGGTGGCCTAGTTTTTCTGGAGCTTAGCGTCCTTCCATACCAGGGCTCTGCAACCTTAAACAATTAAAGAGCCATTTGGACCCATTTCCCACAGAAAACGAAACACTGGGAGCCACAAAACCTGGCTGGGCATGGCCAACTTGAGGACACTCACTCCCACCCAGTCACATGACCCAACCAGCCATGCCTACCCACGTTCTGTGACTCCCGGTGTTTTCTTTTCTATGGGAAACAGGTATCTCCCTGTCTCTCTCCCTTTCTCCCTCCCTCCCCCTCCCTCTCTTCCTCCCTCCCTCTTATTCTCCCTCTCTCTCATTTTTCTTCCTCTATCTTTATCTCCCTCTCTCATCTCTTTCTCGCTCATCTCTCTTTCTCTATCTCCCTCTCATCTCTCTCTCTTTCTCCTCCTCTTATCTCTCTTTCTCCCCCTCTCTTCCTCCCTCTCTTCCTCCTTCCCTCATCTCTCTCTTTCTCTCTCTCTCTCCCTCTCTCATTTGTTTCCCTCTCTTTCCCCCTCTTATTCTTTCCCTCCATCATTCTCTCACTCTCTTGCTTTTTTCCTCCCTGCCTCTGCTTTCTCTCCTTCCTCCTTTTGTTAAATAAATAAATACTGCTTTCTGAGCTCTACTAGTTGGTTGCTGAAGCAACAGGAAACAGATAGTACCAACTCTGTCAGATCTCAAACGAAGGGAAAAAATCATAGAGAGAGGTGATCCTCTTTGCCTCTCACCTCCGCTTGTGGCTGGCTCTGCTTCTCTTTTTCTCCCCTTTTCTCTCCTCTCACTCTCTTGAGCACGCGCACGTTCCCAAGCAGGATACTCTCCTGAGCTGGGATCATGGTGGGGACGATGACTCGCCCTCCTGCTGCTGCCACTGCGTAGTGAGGTGAGTAGTGGGCCACGCTGTGCAGTGCTGGAAAGCCCGTGCTGCGCAGGGGGCAGCACAGGCTGTGCAGTATCCTTCGTGGGGAGCTCAGCACTAGCCGTGGTCCCCTTCGTGTCAGCTCAGGAAGGAGGGGAATGGATAGGAGCAGCTGCCACCGCCGGATACAGAAAAGGTAGAGCTCCGGCTGCCCCCTGCGCTAGGAGCGCTTCAGCTGTGCGGCTTTCAGAGAGGCTTGTGCCTTCTCAAAGCAGAGAGCATGTTGCGTGACCTGGTTGGCAGTGAGCCACTGGAGAAGGGTCAAAGAGCCGCATGCATCCATTCCATATGAAGGAGGAACACAACACCAGTTGGAGAAGCGGCAGAAAAGGAGGCTGCCATTTCCAGAACAGAGACGTGGAGCAATGCAGCCCGGTGAGAAAGTGGGGACCAGTTATCGTTGCACAGTGGAAGGAAGGGAGCGAGCGAGCGAGCGAGAGACAGAGAGAGTGATCCAATCCAACCTCTGTGTATATGTGCTTCCTGCTTGATTGTGGCTGAGCAAGCAGAAGAAGTGGGCTGGCAGCCATGTGGGCTCCTGCTGGACAGTACTGCTGTTGCGAGGCAGGTGTTGGGGCATGGGTGGGATGACTGCAGGGATCTTGAGGTGCAAGTGTGTGGGGCACCTCCAACCCCATCACCTCGCCTTGTGGCCGGTGCGCTGCTTGGCCTCCTGCTTGGTTAAAATGTTGGGACATCGGCTTGGCTGCAACGGTCCTAAGGTGCACGGGTGCGGGGCACGTGGGGCACCTCCACCTCCTTCACCACCTACCTTACCTGACCTTGTGGCAGCTGCACCAGTGTGCTAAGCAACAAGGCGGTGGGATGGAGTGGGTGGGTCTTAACTAGGGCTTATTTTTGGGGTAGGGCTTATATTAGACACAGACATGGAAAATCAAGCTAGGTCTTATTTTCCGGATACACAGTATGTTATGTTCATAAGAAGGTACTTTGCATTAACAACACATAATCCCTAAATGTTATAGTTAACTTAGCATAAATAGTGCAGATAGTCCTTATTCAATCTATAAAAAGTATTTGCAGTTATTTCTGCTGAAGACAACTTTAGTTTTAGGTTGCAGTAGTACCTGTAGAGGTCTCTACATGATCCCAGCTTGAGAGCATATCTATGAATTCTTATTATTTTGGAATTGTCACAGGGAATATAATGAAACCTTTATATTTTTTCTCTAGCTGAAGGGTCTGTGATTAAAAAAGCATTTTCCCCCAAATCTCTTCCTGTTTCTATCCAAAAAGGAAATACTTCTTCAGGGAGTGATTCAGGTTAGTACCGTGTCATATAATATGTGATTTCTCTATTAGGAAGTTGTATAGCGTTGATAGTTATAAGCAGCCAAGTACAAAATGCTGTCAGTACTATATAATCTTCCAACATTTTTGAGATAAAATTAAATATGCCAGTATAAATGAAAGCTATGCGTGTTTTATTTAGATTCTAGTTCTGAAGAAGAAAAGAAAGTTTTGGTCAAATGCTCTGCCAAAGCCGTTTCAGCAAATGGTGCTACTAAATCAGTTCCATCCAAGAAAGTGAGCAGCTCCTCTGATACTTCAGGTACTGTGGATAACATGGTAAATCAATTGTTTTCCATTTTAATATTTTGTATTCTTTCATTGTAGAGCAGGAATTTTGCTTAGTCTTCAGTTATTTACAGAAACACAACATAAAAAATCTATAATTAATATTTTTCTCACATTGTGTGCTTACAGTACCAAAATTTAAATTTAAAATACACCATAAGTAAGTAATAAAGTATTATGAATTGTTAAAACAAGCTACTTAGGCGGAGGTTTGTCCTCTGAGCTTGCTGCGTGGCTCTCAGATATTTCATTACCAAACTAGGTAAGATCTTCAGCGGGGTTTTGGGTGAAGTGGCTTGTTCATTTATATAGATCCTGGGTGGTCAGTTCATCTTGTGACTGGTTGAATCACAAGGCTGAATGAATCACAAGACTGATTCTGGTCTTGTGACTTCTGACTGGTTGCTGTGAGGCGTGAAATTTAACTGGTGAGGGTGGTTGATTCTGTCGTTGGTTGGTGGTTTGAATGGTCCGCTTCCTTATTATTTTGTACGCTGGTTCTAAGTCAATGCGTTTGTTGATGGACCCATTGGTAGAATATCAGGCTTTGAAAAGCTCGTGTGCTTGATGGGTTTTGGTGTGGCCGATGACTTCAGCTTTGTCCCAGTCAAACAGGTATTGTTTGTTGTCGATGTGACTAGCGATCAGGGACTTTGCGTTTGACAGCCTATTGGTGGTGGTCATGGATTCTGGATTTTAACTGTCGTCTTGCCTGCCCCCTGTAGAACTGGTTACAATTGTTGCAACTGATTCTGTATATTAGGTTGGAGCTGTCTTCCTTCCGTCTTTGACCTTTATAAGTTTCTTCTGAGTGTAAACGTGGGTTTGAGGGCTATTGTTATTCCTAGGGGTTGCGGTAGCCTGGCAGCCATTTCTGATGTGCCTTTGATGTATGGCAAGACCTGTTTCTGTGCTGTGCTGTGCTTTTCTGTGTGACTTTCTGGGGTTTGGATGTTATGCATCACAGTATAAAATTCCTGCGGTAGCCATTGCAGAGAAAAATGTTGAAGAAGTATTTCTCCTCTGCTTTACTTGGGGATTTGGTGCTGCAGTGTGTTCTGGCTGTCTTGAAGAGGTCTGGACACGGGGTTTTTTGTGTGTGTGCCGGGGGTGGTTGCTGGAAAAGTTGAGGATTTGGTTTGTGTGCAGGGATTTCTGGTATACACAGGTGGTCATTTCACTATTTTTATGTCTCCTTATGTCCATGTCAAGGAAGCAGAGATGTTCATCCTTTTCTTCCTTGCAGGTAACGTTGATGCCAGTAAACACGTTGTTGAGCAGGCAATATTGTAAGGTCTGGCTTCTCCTCCTCGTTCAAGAAAGACTCTTGAAACTTTGGCATTTCAAAAGGAACCCTTTTATTGAACTGGAGTGATAGCAAGATGAAAGAAAAGCAGACTCTGAATTCCCTCAGGCAATACAGTTAGGATAAAGAAATTAGAAACCCTTCCCTTCAGCCCAATATGGATTCAGCCAATCTGCAGGTGTGGAAATGTTATTGTAACGGCCGTCCTGAGAACCTGATAAGGGAACTTTCTGTCTTTTCTAATTTAGATTGTTTCAGGATGATGAATGTGTTGTCCATGTAGCAGACCCAAAGTTTAGGTTGGTTGGATGGTTGGCAGGACAGTGTATTTGAGTTTCTTCATGACTGCCTCTGCTATGAGGCCGGATAAATGTGATCCCATGGGTGTGCCTTCTATCTGCTTGTAGATCTTGCTGTTGAACTTGAAATGTATTGTCAGGCACATCTGTGGATATAGACAGTGTTTTCTGGGGGTGTTTTTGTCTCAGGTTATGGATGTTTGTTTGGCCAGGTTGATGTTGATGGAGGTGAACAGAGCAGTGACATTGAAGGAGACCATCATTGCTTCGATGTTTATTTTGATGTTTTTGATTAGTTGAAGGAATCGTTCAGGGTTCATTGGAAACTGTCAAACCATCAACGAGGTGACAAAGTTTTTTTTGTAGTGCTTTCACTAGTTTGTAGGTCGGTGCTCCAGGGAGTGCTACAATGGGGCGTAGGAGAATTCCATTTTTGTGCATCTTGGGGAGTCTAGAACTTTGATATCGTGGACTCCTTGTGGTTGCAGATATTTCCTTTCTGTGGAAGTTATTTGCTTTGCTTTTTCCATCTTCATCGGGCTGTTTTTCATTTTGTTTTAATATTGTATTTGATGCTGGTGTTGTGCAGTAGGTCCTCAGTTTTGTTGATGTAGCAGTTTTGTTCATTATGATGGTGCATCTGCTTTTGTCTGTTGGCAGGATGACAACGCTTTTCTCCTTTTTCAGGTTTTTAGTGCTTGCCGTTCTTGGTTGAGACCTGTTGTGTCTGTTCCTCTGGATGTTGGGGATGGTCTTCTGTCTGATGTCTTCCTGCATCTCATGATCGAGGTTGTTGGTTTTTAGTATGGATTCTAGGTTAGCAAGAAGTCAACCAGGTGCACATTTTGTAGTTGAAATTGAGGCCATGTGTGAGTATAGTTTTCTCCTCTTTTGATAGCGCTCTGTTGGATAGGTTTTTGATCCATGAGTCAGAGTTGTCGTCTTGTGCTGTGGGGTGATCTTGGCAATTTTCTTTTGCAGGGTGTTGCATTTTTGGGTCTGGAATTTGTTGGATATTTTATTGATGGCATGTTCTAACTTGTTTGTGAGATCTTGTCCGATTGCGGTGAGGCATTGTTTTTTGTTCATTGATGGTGTATTGGTATTTTATTACGCAGTTGTGTGCACCAGTGATCATGAATTTAAGCATTTTGCATCCATTTTGGAGGGCCAGGTTCCATGTTTGTGAGTAGTTAATAGGTAATCTATAGTGCGTGCTTTTTGGTAGCGTTTTCTTGCAGAGGCATTTATGGAGGAAGTGTAGTTGTTTGAGGGTTGACAATTGATAAGTATTGTTCTGAATCTGTACTTTCCTCCACGTAAAAAAAATCTAAACTTTAAAAATAGTGAGAATAAGTTGCAGTGCAATCAGATTAGTTTTTCTGTTGCTGTTTTTTCTTCCTAGATTCTGATTGTTCTCACAGTATTCCTGAGAAATTTGCAGTTAGGACAGGCATAAAGAAAGTGAAGAAACCTCTTGGAGTGCTGGCAAAGAAAGTAGAAAGTAGCTTTGAAGATAAGAAAGTTCATAAAATAAAAAGCACAAAGGCTGTCAAAACAACACCCAAATCCAGCACCCCTGTCTCTAAACCAAAGAGTTCTGAGTCAAGCAGCTCAAGCAGTGAAGAACAGACTCAGCCATCCCAGAAAGCAACTAGCAAACTCTCAGTGGGTAGCAATTTGATCATTAGCAAGCAAGCCCCAGCTGAGATCAGGACCTCTTCTGAGAATTCCACTGATGAATTTAAAATATCTGAAAAAACAGAAAGAAAAAGGGGACAAAATAACTGCAAAACAGCAAAAAAAGTGCTAAAAACCTCAGCCAACTTTGTGGGCAAAACATCTGCATCAAAGACTCCAACATCTGAAGTACTGAATTCCACAAACAGTAGTAGTTCTGATGAAGAGGCCACAAAGGAAGGTTAGTAATTTTTCCTGAGGGAAGTATTAAATAGAATGGAGCTAGTTTGAAAATAATACCAAATCGGATATAATAAGGTAAAGGAAAAAAATGTGATGGAATGTGCACCTAGTAGGTTACAAGGTTTAATTTGGCAAGATTCTGCTTGTTAGGAGTAAGTAATAGAAGGATTGCAGTCATTTGGATCTTGCTGTGTCATCTTTGGGCTTGGTTCTGATACCATATTTAATATGATAGGTGAACATCATCCCTGTCTGTCAAGGAAGACTTTTTAGTGGCTCACAGCATGCTACAGCATCATTTTAACCATAGCTTAATCATACTTTGGCTTGGACAGCATCAAGTTATAAACCACACTGGATTATTTTGCTTAGTATGTTGTACATATCCAGAGATTGGGTGAATCAGTTCCTGCCAATTAGAGATATTTTAAATAACTATTTCATACCTGAATATATAGCACAAATGAAACTTTCCTGCTCCACAAGCTGTGTATTGATTAGATTACTACTTACTTAGAATGAGAGGGTTTTGTGGAAGCTTACTATTCCTGTAAAATGTAATAGGTTTATCAAAAAAAAAGCGGAAAAGGAAAGATGAACTAGAGTTGGAGACCCCAGACATCAAGAAGATGAAAGCCAGAAGTCCTCATACATTCCCAAAATCAAAGCGGGTAAGGATTGAGAAAAAGGATTTTATTATTTTATTTATTTTACCTTATTTATTAAACGCATTGGCTATCACAGGGTAACTCCTTCATAACTGCAAAAGCTGAATTTCAATTGTGGGTTACAAGGTTTTTTGAAAGAAAGTATTATGACATGGGTGATCTTATATCTCTGGTTTAAATGTTTGGTGACTCTAAAAAACAATTTCTCAACTAGAAAAGCTCTTAAGTTGCCATTTTGAAGGATTTGGTCAGAAATCAGATATATCATAGGCAAGTAATCCTCAAGTTACAATTGCAGTTGGAGTGACATTGCTGTCACTAAGCAATGAGGCTGTGAAGTATGATATCATGTGACGACATTTAGTGATGCCTCGCAGACCCAGTTGTCACAATCCAAGATGTGTGAGTCATTAAGTGGAGAGAGCAAGGTAATAAATAGGGGTACTTGGGAAGGAAAAGGAGGCTCAACACAGGATACATGTGAGTTTGTGGGAGAAGGTGCTTGGTTGAGCATAGAGTATATGTGATCACAAGCAGACCAAGAAAAGAAGGCTCTGGGTTGCATGCATTCTTATATCCAAGTAGAATGCCACAATTGATCATAAGTGCAAGATTCTTTTGTTCATGTGACCATGGGGATGCTGAAGTGGCAAGAACTTGAAGGACTGGTCATAAGTCAATTTTGTTTAGCACCTGGAATGATATCATGAGGACTATTTGTATCTTTTTTCTTCTGCAGCAATCCAGTCCTTTTCGCAGAATAAGAACAGAAGAAATAGAAATAGATGTGCGAGTAGCTAACAATTCCTTTGATGCCAAGGTAGGGATAGGCATTCTTCATGCAGTAATCTCTACAAAATAGAGACTACCTGGACAAACTATAAAAAAATTGCATTATTTGCTGTGTATGTGTTTATGTGTGTGCTTCAGGGTTGAAATGCTACTGGTTTGGACCGGTTCAGCTGAACTGGTAGTAAAAAATGCTACTGGTTCGCCAAACCGGTAGTAAAAAATGTAAAAAAAAAAACAAAAAAAAAAAAACGTTCCGACGATCAGCTGAGCGATGCACAATCATTGGAAGTTTTTTTTTTTTTTTTTAACTTTTTAGACATTTTTTTTTACTACTGGCTCAGGTGAATAGGTACCGTATTTTCCAGCGTATAAGACGACTGGGCGTATAAGACGATCCCCGGCTTTTCCTGTTAAAATATAGGATTTGGGCTATACTCGCCATATAAGACTACCCCTCTTCCAACGCACACCAAATAAAAATTAAAAAACATCAACTGGCTCACCCACAATGTAAAAGCAGCTGTGCTAGACCCAAAATGGCCCCTGCAACAAGCAGGAACCTCACACAGCCACAAAAAGCCCAAAAAACCAACTTTCACACTTTACACACACAAAATTCCACATAAGCTTTGTGAGATTTTGTGTGTTTGTGTAGTTAAGAGTGAAACACTACAGAAACACACTAAATCTCAGAAAGCTGCACAAATATTATTTTATTTTATTTTATTATTATTTTTATATGAAAACTAAATTTAAAACTTCCTAAACTTTAAATGGCTAGGTCTAAAAAAGAACAACTAAAAAAAAACCCAATTAACTATTTTTTTTAAAGCTCCCAAAGGGGAAAAAAACTTACCCAATAGAACAGGGGTCTCCAACCTTGGCAACTTTAAGACTTGTAGACTTCAACTCCCAGAATTCCTCAGCCAGCTTTGTTTTGCTGGCTGAGGAATTCTGGGAGTTGAAGTCCACAACTCCCTGCCTGCTTGATTGCAGGCAGGGAGTGGCTTGCTGATGGAATGGATTCAGGCAAGCGAAGCAAGGCAAGTGTTGCGACTAGCAGCTAAGGTAAGCAAGCTGGAGGGGGAAAACTTTTTTCCTTTTATATGGCTCTGGCGATCCAAGCTGCGTTGCCTGATTAGCAGGCAACTCAGCTGGGATCGTCAGAGCTTGGATCGCCAGAGCCATGTAAAAGGAAAAACTTTTTTTCTTTTACATGGCTCTGGCGATCCCAGCTGCATTGCCTGATTAGCAGGCAACTCAGCTGGGATCGTCAGAGCTTGGATCGCCAGAGCCATGTAAAAGGATTCTAGCTGAGTTGCCTAATTAGCAGGCAAAACTGGGATCGTCAGAGCTTGGATCGCCAGACCCATTTAAGGCTCGTCAGCCTGGTTACAGGAGAACGACACCCAGCATATAAGACGCCCCCCGACTTTTGAGAAGATTTTCATGTGTTAAAAAATTGTCTTATACGCCGGAAAATACGGTAGTCAAAAATGCTTTTAAAAGGTTAAAAAAAAGGTTCCGATGATTGCGCAGCACAGCTTTGATTGTTGGAGCCTTTTTTTAACCTTTTAAAAGCATTTTTTAACTACCTATTCACCCGAATAGTAGTAAAAAAATGCTTTTAAAAAGATTTTTAAAAGGTTCCCACACGCGCTACAGCTGATCACCGCCCTCCACGCGCTGTTCTATTTACCGTCCCAAGACTGCTTTTAGTGCACATTGCGCACGCGCAGCTCGCATTTGATGCACATTGCGCATGCGCGGCCAGCAAACCAGTAGTAAACCGGTTCAGATTTCACCACTGGTTTGTGTATTTATTGCAACCTACACTCATAGACTCTGGACAGTTTATAAATGCAAAGTGATAAAAACGATTTATGCTTAATGTTTTGTGGCTAAGGATCATCAATTCTCTCATCTTTCCCAGAAAGGAGCTGTAGGTGACTGGGGTGAAAAAGCAAATGATGTTCTGAAATTTACAAAAGGTAAATCCTTCCGACATGAGAAGACAAAGAAGAAAAGGGGAAGTTATTGTGGTGGTACTATCTCTACCCAGATAAACTCCATCAAATTTGAAAGTGACTAAACTACTACCATATTGGGAACGGGATCCCAATTAATTAATGAAATGTCATGGATATCTCTTCTACAACCTGTTGTCTTCATTTCTGATGGGAGGATTGTTGCAAGTTTTCTACGTGATAATGTGACTTAATGGAGGTATGGAATTGAGTCCTTTGGATTTCTCAGAAGTTTCTAACTTTGCATCATTTTATGTTACAGCACACTTGATAACATGATAAATAAACATACCTTATTTGTAATTCTTACTCTTCCTCTGATGCTCATATATATGGCAGGGATCAAATGTATCTTGCCATTTGATGATGCATACTGTGTCCTTAAATTTTAAATTCCTCCTGGAAATAAAACCAACTGTTCTTCATTAAGAACAATTTCCAAACCCTAGTATATGGCATGATTCTTGCCTCTGAGAATCACTGCTTTCCCAAACTCGTTGTTATAGAATTCAACACAGAAAAATCTAAAATAATTGTCAAGATTTGATTTTCACATTATGTTTGGAAGGTCAGAAATTTTATTTAAATATAGATTATAATATATTTTCATTAGTTTAAAAATGATTGTGGTTAGCTCACTGTAACATACATAAGCATAAGCATAAGTCAGGCATAAGCAACCAGATCCATTTGTGAAAGATTCAAATCCACTTTATTGCATTCTACCTATATTACAAGAATCTCCCCACTCTGCTTGCCTTGTCTTGGGAATGAACAGATAAGGTCCCATGGAACTTGGGATGGAGTTAGGCTAATGGCTTTTCTGGCTGCGTAAGGACTCAAGGCTAGTTCCCCACTTGGCCCCTCCTCTTCACCTGGCTGAGAGTTTCCCAATATTTATGCTTACCAAGGCAAATGGATAAGATAATGTGACTATACAATGTGATATTAGGCCCTCACTACATGTAAAATACAGTGAGCATCCCTTATCATAAAGTTAGTATTATTCATTTACATAAGATAAAGATAAAGGTTCCCCTCACACCTAGGGGTGAGGGGTTTCAGTTTCAAAACTGAAGAGCCAGCACTGTCCGAAGACATCTCCATAGTCATGTGGCTGGCATGACTAAATGCCAAAGGCGCACGGAATCTTTCCACCAAAGGTGGTCCCTATTTTTCTACTTGCATTTTTTACGTGCTTTCGAACTGCTATGTTGGCAGAAGCTGGGACAAGTAATGGGAGCTCACCCCGTTACACGGCACTAGGGATTCGAACCGCTGAACTGCCGACCTTTTGGTCAACAAGCTCAGTGTCTTAGCCACTGAGCTAAGCATATATGCATAAGCATACATAGATGCATGATACATACACACTCTTTATTCTATTTCATTTCATTCAAAGAAAGTTAAAATACAAAATTTCAAATGTTTTTCCTTCAAAAAGCCAAACAAAAAAACCCCCCTATGAAGCAAGACATTAAAGTGCATTAAAAAAACTAACACATACACACATATTATCCACCTAGTTGATATTACTTAATATATTACAACAATATTAGGTTTTCACCCCTAGCAAAACAGGCCCCAAACTTTTTAAAAAACTACTGAATATATTTGCAAGTTATTAGCCTGTCATCTATATACTATGTTAATGACCAAATAGTTAACAAGAAAAACAACAACAAAGCCCTCTGTTAACAAACTTACTGTAATCAACTCGTAGAAAATTTATCACGGCATCTTATCTACCCCAAAGTTCCAAAAGATAACAGTGATTTGTCCTGGTTCAATATCGACGTTTGTTTCTTAATACCATCTTGTATCAATTGCTGTTTGGTTAAATGTAATGTCCAATCTCCAAAGTCAGTCTATCTACCAAAAAAAGTCCAAATGAAATTGTTTTACATTTTAATGTGATAAATCACATCCAGTCTCCTTCAATCTTCCTAGGGAAAACCAATTTATCACTTCTCCATTTAGTCAGGTTTTAACTGTTGTACAGGCTTCAACTTCAGGGAATTGAAGATGCAATCAACTCAGTTCTGAGTCTGTAAGTTCTAAGTCTGTAGAGTCCATATTTCTTTCCAGCAAATCTGCTTTCAGATCACATTCCTTTTGTGAGTCTAATTTATCTACAGCTAAATGCATCTGAATATTTTCCATAATCATTATTTCATCAAACTTCTTTAAAAAACTTTCAAATATGGAATTCATATTACCAGTCTTTTTTCAAATGTCAGCCATATTTTCTTGTCTATAATCTGATACATTGTTGCTCTCTGTAACATAGCAATAATAAATAAAAGAACACAGAAATCTCTATCCAAAATTTAAAGAACAAAAAAATAAGCTCCAAACATTTTACAAATTAGTAAAATGCAAAAATCATGTAGTGAGAGACCAACAAAGATGTAAATGAAATGAAAACACTTTTTTCCTTACAAAAAGCAAAAGTTATTCAAAACAACAACATAAAGGGAAAAAGAAAAAAGAAAAGAACAGATGAAGTCCAGCAAGGGATTAAAATAAATCAGCATTCAACTGGTCAACTTTTAAAGATAAAAAGCAAAGTGAAACAAAAGCTTCAAAAAGTGAAAACCGAGGCATGCTTAAGAAAACAAACTTGGATGACTATGAATTTCTGATAGCTCCCAGACAGAATCTTCAAGACTTCTCTTCCCAGGTGGGTCCATGGCCTTCTTGGATCATTCCTGAATGCTCCCATTCAAATCCAGGGAGCAGCACTGCCAAAGAATCAGCTTTGGAAGCAAAATTAGCAGATTCTCAGGAGGAAAAGGAAAAGTTTCTACAATTCAGCAGCCATCTTGAGTTTTTCACATGTTCACTCTTATCTGAAAAAATCCCCTTCTACTACTGATCCCATGAAAGTGATAGTTAAGAGTACAAGAAGGAAGTTAAAGAAAAGAAATGATGGGAAGGGGAGAGAGAGTAGCCTACTCCATCTGTTAATTCAATATTTGCCTGAAACAATGAGCCAAGGGGTCATAGGCTGTTTAGTGTTTTATAGAATTGCCAAATTTCAATTCCATGGGCATGGATTTTGGCCACATTCTGTTAGCAGTGGTGAAATCTAATTTTTTTTGCCATCGGCTCTGTGGACATGGCTTGGTGGTCATGTGACTGGGTGGGCATGGCCAACTTTTTTTTTTACTTTTTAAAGCATTTTTAACTAGTTAAAAAAAGGTTCCAATGATCAGCACCTGACCCCCCCTCACCAAGCCAGATCCAACACCTCCTAGCCCCGAAGATTGCAAGCCTTTCCACCTCGGCTACCTAGTCCGGGAGATGATGGAGGGGGGGGGGAGAGAAACAAAGCTGTGCGCAACTTATTGTTAATATGCACCATATCCAGTTAAAGGTAACAAACAAGAATTTTACACACACACCAGGGAATACAAGCATTTTTTTCTATTCCATATTGCTAACACTTCAGAGTGGTTACATAAGGAAGTGGGAGTATTACACTCCCGTATCAGTTCATCGTTGATTATATTAATCTAGGATTATATTCACATTTTAAGAGGTTAGGATTTTTTAAATGAAGGTAAAAGCAGCTGGAGAACCATTTTCTCTCACTGTAAAAGACAAATCCTGGTGTTCATGTTGCTTCTTAGCAACAATGCAGTATAAAATTTTACTTGCAGTCTATTCCAAAACCTCAGATCTGTCTTCAAAACTTCAAGAACCAAAATAAACACAGGATAATCCTGTTTTATCCCCTTCTGGATATAACATGGTTTAGTCAAATCATTAACCAAAATTTGGGCCTTTTGAGATCTATATATTGACTTGATTCCTTGAATAAAATTCTGGTCAGATTCTATATTTTCCAAAACTTTAAACAGAAATTGCTGCTTCAAATTGTCAAAAACTTTCTCGGCATCCAAGGAAATCAGTGTGATTTGTTTTTCATTATGTTGTTATGGATATCCTATTACATCAAGTACAGTCTTCACATTCTGTGGCACTTGCTGAAGCTACCCATCCTGGAATATCCTTGGAAGATAATGAAAGTGTTTCAGGTTTTCCAGTATGGTGAACACTGCAGAATTCTCCATAGCATGCACCAAAGATAGCCAGCTTGGAAATATCTTGGTATCCAGCAAGAAGCTAAGCTTATCAGTGTATAAGATCTTCAGATGCAAAGCAAGTATGCAAGATACAAGTGAAATGTATCTCAGGAATATCTAAGGACTCTTAACGGTAGGTCCTATCAGAGATAAGCTGGCAGTGCTGTCAATTTGGTTGCCTTTCGCAAGGCTAACCAAAGCACATTGTAGGGAAGGCAACCCAATAGGGGTTTAGGACTTTTCGCCTCCTACCCTTGGCCGCGCCTGCTTCTCCACCAGGCTTCCGCCTCAGGGGGTTCTCCTCTAGCTTTTCTCCTCAGCTGACACATCCCTGCCCATTTGCCACGGCCAGTCGGCCACAGCCCCTCTGTCCCATATGCTTTGGCATGCTTTCACATGACCCCAGGATGCTGCAACTGTTATAAATGCGAGTCAGTTACTACACATCCAACTGTAAATCACGTGACCATTGGGATACTGCAATGGTCATGAGTGTGAAAAATGGACAACAGTGGCATTGCAACTTTGAACAGTCACTATATGATACGGTCGTAAGTTGAGGATTATCTGTACTGTTTTCCAATTTGATGGCAGTCTTTGACTTACGACTGTCATGGCCAGCCATGATCAATGTCGTATGTCCATACCTAAGATGGTGGGCAGTGGGGGGGAACAGCAGCCGAACTGCAGGATCAGGTGTGGGGTGGGGAGAGAGCAGAATCTTAGGTACGGACATGCGACTGGTGACGGCTGGCCATGACGGTCATAAGTCAAGGATGGATTGAGTAACGCATCGAAATTCACTTTAACAATGGTCTTGCTTAGCAACCAAAATTTTGGGCTCAATTGTTGTCATAAGTCGAGGACTATCTTTGCCTTCCTCTGCATGGCAGCCTTGCCTAGTAAACTACTTCCCTTTTCTGGGAATTTCTTCTCTGTGTTAGAGGTACATCTAATTATATCAAGATGATATAAGGTCTCCTGCTGGAGCAGGGGGTTGGACTGGATGACCTCCGAGGTTCTGTCCAGCACTGGATTGTTGTGCTGTTTCAAAGCATCCACTGAAGCTGCATCTAGTGCCCAAGGTTTATGGTCCGTCCTTCCTCTCCTTTTTCTCTCCCTCCCTTCCCACCCTCTTCCTTCCTTCCTTCCTTCCTTCCTTCCTTCCTTCCTTCCTTCCTTCCTTCCTTCCTTCCTTCCTTCCTTTTCTTG